GAGGCAAAGCCACACACACAGAGTAGAGAGATAAAAGCTCATGGCTTTTACACACACACACACACACACACACACACACACACACACACACCAAAGAGAACCTTGATATTCTAAGTGCTGTTACCTATAAAAGCTAGTGGACTAAAAAAGCTAGTGGGTGAGTGGATTTTCCAAGGACAGTGCTGTTTGTGCCCCAATCCTACTGGCAATTCCCACTGACTCTATACTCACACCAGGGCTGGTGTTTTTGAGTTGAGAGATGAGAGTAAGAGACAGCAGCCAGGCTCCCATCAGTACAGTGTGTAACCCATGGAGTTCCTGATTTAGCGCAGTTACCCAGGAGCGCCAAGCTTCCCTTCTCCCAATCCACAGCCAATTCTTTTTGCCTTAATTGAAGGCAATTCCAAAAGAACAAGAACACAGATGATCAGATGGTCTACATGCTTTCTGGGTAGCACATTCCAAGCAAATCAGACTCCCAGAGCAGGGAAGGACCTTGGACAGCCCTAGAATCATCTAGCCTAGAACAGAAAATACCAGAGTCTTGTCCAAGGTCACACATGGCAAGTGTGCAGCAGAACTTAATGTAGCAAGTAGTCTATGATTCCTTGGCTGCCTGATCTAGCATGTCTGACTGGAGACCTTTGAAAGAGATACTTTTAAAAAAAATTACTAGTTTGACTCTTGTTCACTCCAAATGGATTTTTTTCCTCTCAAAATTCAAATATTTCAACATAATTCTATATAGCAAGTGGCTTGCCTAATCTAGACCTGTCACTGCTGGTTGGATAGCTGGCCTTTAAGAGAGGAATGGGGATCCTGTTGGGCGAAGGGTAAAAATCTTCAGCAAATTGCATTGGGTATCAATGGATGGAAGATCAGTCAGGAAGAGAAGCTAGGCAAACTGTAGTTACTCAATCCCTCTTTTAAAAGCTGTGTTCCTCTCTGAAGCACAGGCATCTAACACTTTGATTCTTAGAGTCTGTTTTAATTGGATTCTCTTTATGTTGTATATGCATACAAACAATCTCTCCTCTGGGAAAGTTCTGAGGTTCACTTCCTTGTGCCATCATAAAAGAAAAACAGATTTGTTTTTAATTGGAAAGGTATCTACTAAATGGAATGGGGGTCCTGAGACAGAAACAAGACACAAACAGACAATTCAGGGACACTGGATGAAGCCTGGAGCCCAGCTAGCCTCTGTGCGCACTGACCACGAAACCCTCTGAGTCCCATAGCTCATGGCTGACCAAGAGGCCCTATGTACAAAATTCCCAGGTAATGACAACATGTGTCTTCTGGAGTAACTGGGGCCCCTCCTGGGTCTCAGAGAAGGAGCTCCATTCTTACATTTTATACAAATGTGTCAACAGTTCTTCAGGTGTTCTAACTATCCATCTGCACATGATGCAACCCTGCAGAGGTGTCCTCTGTTCTATATGTGTCCCCTTCCTTCCCTGGAGTTTGGACGACACAACATTCCTTTTGCCCGATGTTTCTGAAGGGTCCCAAGATCATGTGTCTGGCATTGATTAGAAGAGGGGCTCCCTTAGGCCAGAAGCACATTGCACTTGTAATCACCAGGAGGAAAATGTGCCCAAGTCAACTCAGCTCACACAGGTCCTTGTGATGCAGATGTCACACTTCAAGGATGTTCCTGTTCTGTTCCATTCAACCCTGGGGCCAGTATTCCTCTGTAGGCTGCCTAAACCGTGCTCAGAGAGCTGAGGTATCCCTCTGCCAACATCAAGCAGGAGCTGATGCTGGGTACTGTCCTGAGCCACAGCTCAGCAGCACCCAGGAGCAACTCAGGGAGGTTGAGACATATAGTCCTGATCATGACCTTTTCGATGCCAGAAACTGAAAGGTACACAGATCTGAGGTGCAAACTGGAGGAAGAGCCTGTGTTGCTCAGGTTCAGGTTGCCTTTCCAAGCCTCTCATCTAGTGATGACTAAGTGACTCCAGTTTCTGTAAATTGCCACTAAAATTGAATCCATGCTTATAAATGACAGTTGGATCAAGTCTCTTTAGAGCATAAATTCATCATTTTGGGAACTTTGGACATTAGTGTTAGGACAACACTAATGGACTTTTTCTTTATAGATATATGGGATGTAAGATAAAGAGGAAAGAATCATGTTGGGGGAGGAGCCTGAGAGAATGGGAAACCCATGAAGAGCACTGTCTGCTAGCTCCCAGAATAATAAAAGGTCATTAAGCTTTCTCCAGAACGGGAAAGAAATTTTCAGAAACCTCGGGGGACCTCCTGAAAGGGGGCCCTTGAGTAGAGAAGCAAATGATCAGAGCAAAGGTCAGAAACAGATGGGGGTGTCCAAGGTGCACACATGGGCAGCCAGCTCAACTCAGCTGACCCCAAGCCACTAACACTGCACAGGAAGCAGCCCTGGACTTTTGCTACCTAAGATTTCTCAGAAGCCAGTGTGTCCTATTTGGTACAATTGTGTGAGGTTAGGCTAGAGAAAGGAGTGGGAGGGGCTCATAAGCCAACAGAAACCAGGGAGCAGCATTTGTCTGAAGAGAGCAGATAGGAAACTGCCATTCCTTTCCTTCAAACTCCTCACTTCGTGTGTAGGAAGCTGTAGGGCTGGGGCTACATGCTTGAGAGAAAGATCCTTGAGTCCACCCTGGGACCAAATACTGTATCTCATACTCCAACTGGCTGGTGTTGCCTCACCCTGGGTGCTAAGATTAGCAAGCACAAAGAATGCTCTTCCAGGCAGCAGGATTAAATTCCTACTAGCTGGTTGTGATGAGGTTATTTTTCTCAATTAACAAATACACACACACAAAAGTACACATTTTTATGGGACTGTGGGCTTCATTTCAGATGTTCAGGCAGCAGCCTAGTTTGCAACAAAGTCAGTAGCCACTTCTCTGGTCTGGCTTGTTCCAGGATACACCAGTTAGTTAGCCTACAAATAGGGTCAGCTCCAGCTCTGTGGTCACCCAGCCTCCTCCTTTGTCACTAGCAATGGAACAGAACTTTCCTTCAGAGGCAAAAACCTAAGGATCCGGAGAACAGTGCAGCAGCTAGGACCATTACTGCCAAGCAAGGGCTCTCTTCTAAGACACCTCAGTCCTATTCACACTTTGTGACCAGTCATTTGCTTATGTGATACTGTGTTTGTGTCTTAGCCTTTAGGTCACCCAAGGCAAGAATCAACATTTCCTCTCTGCTTGCAACACCTATCTGTGCCACAAATTAGATATTCCTCTTTTAAAGTCAGGGCAGGGGCAAAACAAAAACACAACGGAGACCACAAAGGTCCAGTGATTGGGTATGAGAGACAACAGCACAGTGCAACCGAATAGGCAGCACTAAACTGTCTGTACCGTCCTCTTAACCACTCCCACAAACCACAGCCCTACCTTGACAGCCTCCGCGTGGGTCACCCGGGCTAGAGATTTATCGTTGACGCGCAGAATCTGGTCCCCGACCCGTAACCCTTCCTTCTCTGCCAGGGAGCCCGGCTCCACTAGTGACACGTAGATTCCCACGCCGTGTTCCGAACCCCCGCGGATGCTGAAACCCAAGCCCTCG